AATTCATGTCCCTCCCGGCGTGACGCTGCGCGCTGACGTCACAGGGCTGTAATGGTGGTGTGCCTCGATATTTTTTTCATGAAACAAGTGTGCCTTTGCCCAAAAAAGGTTGGGAAACACTGTCTTAGGGTCTTGGGACCACGTGCCCTTGGCAGACTCTCCTTCTTCAAATTGTCCCATTTCAAGGCAAATGGGCCCTTTCACATTCACAGGACCTGCGGCTCTTTCTGCTGAGGGGGGGGGGGGCTGGCCTCCTGCCCCACAGCCTTGCCCTGGCAGCTCCCCTGGCCCCCCTCCCCACACGATACTTGGCTGAAGGTTCTCCTTTGCTTCTGCCTTGAGATCCAGGAGAATGTTTGCTCTTTTGCTGAAAGAGGATCTGCAAAAAGGATCCCATTTCCCCTTCTAAAGAAACCGTGACAACTGCAAGGTATAATATTGCACAGCAGGCTGGGCCTTGTCTGTCCGTCCCTGTGATGTCCCTGCACAAGCCTTGGCCCCAGAAGGGACGCCTCTCCGAAACCCCTCTCTGGGGGGTCATGTCCCTCCTGGAGCCTCTTGCCAGGGGGAGGAAGAGCTGGACGACTCTTTCGACTGGCATTCATTTCTGGAAGGAGGCATTTCTACTAGGCACAGAATGGGGAGGGGAGGGAAAACAGCTGATCAAGACCCCCGAAAGCAGTGACTATTTCCCTGGGGGGTGTTAGGACATGTTCTGTGCCCCTGATCTTCCACTGGTGGGTCGCAGCCTGATCCCATGTGGGCTGAAACAGGAGCCCTGACACCTCGCAGATATAAAGATGGAGAACTGCATGTTTGGGTCGAAAGGGGGTCTGGGGTCTGGAGAGGTTGAAGAGACCTGTCTCTGCCCCACAGCCGACTCACGAAGGAGGTCTGGCCAGCCTGACTAGGCCACATGCTGGCCTTGGCTGACCTGAAACACCCCCACCCTCTCCTGTGGGTTGTGCCCCATAGCCTTGAGGACTTGGAGGGGTCTCTGCCCCTTCTCCCCTCTTCCTCCTCCCTCTTGCCTTAAGAAGAGATGACCCACTTTGCTCTCCTGATGCAAGAGGGAGGGGGCTGCTCTCCAAGGAAATCTCCCCCCACCTTGAACCAAGGAGCCCCTATTCCTCCAGCAGAGGATGCTATGGGGCTTGCCCAGCCCCACTCCATTCAGCTCAGCCATTCCCAAGGGGGTCCTTCCCTAAAACTGCCATTCCTCTTAAGCCATTGCTGCTGGGCTGAAGGGGGGGCTGTGCTTTGGGGGGGGGCTGGAAGCTACTTCTCTGTGAGGAGGTTTTGCTGCACTCCCTGTTGACCTCCGTCTCCTGGATCGTGGCCAGCTTCCCTCTTTCATTTCCCTGAATGCTGAGCTGAGCTCCAGGCCCCCATGTGGGGGGAAGCAAAACTCCCCCCAGCGCCTTTCTGCAGCGTCTCCTCTGCTGCCAGAAACAAGGGGGCAGAAGGAGGGAGAGGTGGGGGAGGGAGACATGTGCTATGGGCCCAGAAGTCCTGCTTCTGTCTCCAGGGAGCAGACTCTCTGGATCCTGCCCCTCCCGTCCAGGGACCCCCTTGCCCCCCTCCTCTTGGTCTTTCTTCCTCCAAGAGGCCTCCTTCCCAGCCTCAGGCAGGAGCTGCATGGACACCCAAATTACATTGGCACTGCCTGCAAGGAGAA